TTACCCTCCCCGCGCCGCACAGTTGACGAACCCATTACGTCACATACATTTCTACTGCGCCCGTGTAGTTGAGTTCGCAATGACTTTGCGTGGTAACGCCGCGCGATCCGAGAGTGGGGAAAAGCTTGCAGTTTTTGGTATATGAACAAAAACGGAAACTCTAAAAAAGTCATTTTGATTAAGCAGACATTGGATGCAAAGGTTTATATGACTATTCAATTTAAAGAAATATTTAAAATCACATGTAGCGGGTGACCTATCTCCCGTGAATTTTAGTGGTTTTTCGCTCTTGTGAACTAGGAAATTCCGGAACTAGGAAAAGACTTGCGGTACAATGGGCGGAGTGGGTAACAAAATTAGCTGTCGATCTCCGAATTCAAGTTTCATGTATGACCGCGGGACCGGGTTTTCATCGGCACAGTGGTTTTCCATGAAGTCTGTCCTTCAATAAGAAATTTCACAGACATTTTATGCATGAATGTTGGTTCCTAATTTATTTACGTTTTTACGGGTACCCGGCCCCGAAATTTGGACCCGGGTTTTGAAATCGACGAGCGGGTACCCGGGTACCCGACTCAGGCCTATTAATATAGAAAAATTGCAAAAAAAGGATATCAAATTGTGACCTTAACAAATTAGGGGTTCAACTTCCATTTTCTGATACCAATGTGTTATTGTATTTCTATACTTGACAGTTTTAATTTGTTCCAAAATGGTTCTTCTTTTGAATACCAGCAATTGCTTCGGGAAAATATTGCTGATTTATGACAAAAATAAGAAAAGAAGAAAGCGGTAACGTTTGTAACATATGGTGTCCAACATGTCACAAACGTTACATGGGCATAACAACAATGAAAAACAGACATGTCAGTGGCTGATAGTACAACGATTTTGAACCATCAGCCGTTAACTGCGATATAAAAAACTTGTGAATGTCTCTGTGTACCTTTCATATAAAAAATAACCATGTTTAAAGACCACAATGTAGTTTGGTGTCCAACCGTTACAAATGTTACCATTCATGTTTCCCCTTACATAGGCTGAAACAAATTCAACAATTCACTTTAAATTTTAATTGAATTGAAGTTACTACCCATGTAAGTAGATTCCCTATTCATAACACTCCAATATACACTGTGTCCAAACTTATGCAAATGCAAAGTTCAGTGTTAAAATTAAAATTCCTTTGCAAAACACCACTTTTGGTGTAGTTATTGGTTTTCAAATATTATAAT